GCATAACTATAGCGTGTTTGTAGGGAATTCTTATTGGTATTGATATAAAAAATGTTCCTTCACATATCGTGCCACGAAAGGTCAAGGAGCCCTGTGAGGATGGCAATGCTAGTTTTTTCTTCGAGCTGTCCGTCTATTTCTTTTTGGTGGCCTTGTTGCAGACAAAGAAGCATGACATTATTGGCACATGGATTCCTGAGGGGTCTTTTGTTTCATTTGGGATCTGTATCAAATGAGCCTACTACATCCTCTGAAAGACAGAATGTGGAGCAGCAACCTGTTGGATTCTTAAGAGAGACAATAAAATAACACAAAATGCACATATTTAGAAGAGGAGTTCATTTCTCTCTCTGTGTGGAGCGTACCTGTTTGACGTGACAGAGCGTTCCCTCGGGGCACTCTGCCTCTGGGACGATCCTCCTCCATCTCTTCATGCTCCCCCGGTGATCCCGTCCTCTGCTCAGACTCCTTCCACCCCTCCCTCTGACGCTCCTTCTCCTCCTGGGGGGCAGGGTGTCAGGAGGACTGAGGGTAACCCTCATCTTGGGCTCCTGGACCACATCCAGATTGTGTCCGGAGACTCTGATGATACGCCCTCCACTGCAGAGGGAAAGAACAAAATAACATTAGAATCGTTTCTTCATTACATTCAAGTTAAGATCTAAAATAAATAACAATAATGACAGTTCCCTACTTACATTTTTGGAGCGTAAGCATTTTTATTGAACCATATTTGTCTTGTAATATTTGTCTTGGACGATATATAATCTAAATTATACAAAAAAACGTTTTAAAAACCCCAAAATTGAATGCCATAACATGAGCAGAATATATATTCATTTGAGATTGCTCTGTTTACACTGATGAGCACCTGAGAAAGCTTTTAGAGGGTGAAGCCATGGAGATGTTGGGGTTGGGGGTGTACTGATACACCAGACCCTGCAGGTGGCGCTCCGTGCCTCCAAACCGCACGATGATGCCATGTCCCCCAGTTCTGTTGCTGCCTTTGGTCAGACAGCTGATGTGATCCTCCTGGATGTTCGGCCTGAACAGAAACACACATTATGACCCACTTTCCAGTCACTTACACAAAGTATGTTTATAATAGTCGTCACAGTGCACAGGTGCACTATTTTGCAACGGCTCCTTAAACAAAAACTCAATTGGACTATTCGATTGAGTTTTTGGGATATTGCAGAAAATAAGATCTGTGGCAAACACATGTTTATTATACCTACACATTTTGTTCAGCAGGATAATCTCCACATATTAACACCACTTTTATAATTATATAAACACTGCTAAGCTAAAGTCTGCTCATAAACTAATTTGGTTTTAGGGAACATTTCACATTCACAAGAAGACATTGACTCACTCTTAACCAAATTGTGCCCATTTTAACTTAGAATTACAACAATATGGCACAACTACAAAAAATATTAGAAATAAAAAAGCAATAGAAACCAAATTTGTATTTGATAAATACTTGATGTCTTTCTTTATGTATATATATATCTATATATATTTTAAATATTGTTTTGTTCTTTGACTCTATATGTGTACCTGTGTGGATAACATTATAATTAAAAAACATTTTGTATTTAGCCACCAACATTTTTATGATGCATCAAGGTGTTTACTGACATACGTTATGTCGTAAAACCAAGAAAAGAACGTGTCTAACCATAGATATGTTTTCATAACTCATACAAAAATAAATAAGACTTTAACAGGATTGATAAAGTGCTAAAATGCGGACTAATTTCCAGGTTTAGGACTCCTGAACTATTAGCAACACTTACTCCACACATAGAACCCCTCCGATGAAGACTTTGACATCCCTGGTGTGTCCCGTCCTCAGGCTCCGGCCCCTGATGGTGAAGGAGGAGCCCCCCGCTTTGGGCCCTCTCTGGGGGGAGATGCTGCTCAGAACAGGATCCTGGTGATGGAGAGGAGATGAATGAGAAAGATAAAAGGGAAGAAAGTGAGAGACAGGATAAAAAGGTGTAATCAATAATGAGCGGGTGATTTATTGGAGAGATAAAATGGACACAGGGGCATTCTGGGAAACACTGGAGGGCTGCCTCACAGCCAGATTGTATAATTAATTAGCCTGTCACTTGGGCTAATTAATTAACACCGGTAGTCCTTTTACTGCAATGTAAATAAGGCACTTTATTACATCACAGGGCCACTTACATTTACGACGCCACATTTCAAGTGAAGCGTTATTACCAAGAGATACTGTATGAGAGAGCTGTCTTTACTTAATTCATCAGAAATAATCTTTATTTTTCATGGAAACAAACACATGTAACAGCTACAATGGTGGACTCTTAGAGCATGCTTCCTTTAGTTCAGTTACAGTTATACAGTACAGTATATTTGTTCATAAAAATAAATAATCTTTCACTTTAAAATGGTGCTACTGTCATGAAACCTAAACCCCCAAGATGAATAATAATAAAACCTCTCTGCTTTTAGCTTATGAACCCAGTAGAACCCTCAGTTCTTCAAGATCAATGATGTGACCAACCCTTTGATTTTGGCTTTTAATTGAATTGTATTTACTGTATGATGATTTAATTTTTAATTTAATTTGAATTAAAACAATTGTTTTATTGTATTATCTTATTGTATTATTTTCTTCTAGTTTTTGTATTCAGTCCTTTGTTTATTGACTTTTTTTGGATTTAAGTGTTTTTCATCAATCACAAAGTCGTTTGTTATATTTACCTGGAAGTAGTACTGTTTTTATTTATTTGTATTTCTTTGGTTTGTGAAATGCTTCATGTCACCTTTTGTGTATGAAAAGCGCATATAAATAAAGTTTGATTTGATTTGCGCTGTGAGGACAAGCTTCGCTAAATTAAGTGTGAATCCAAACATACGGAAATGATACAGACACTTGCATGCACACTTTTTTTCTTCAATCTTTCTTTACCTGGAATCTGAAGATCTGAGCAGAGAGTCCGAGTCCCCCCCCCCTCACTTTGACCGAGGCCAGGCCGCTCTTCTCCCCTCCACTGCTGGTGGTCTCACACACTATCCTACAAGGTGAGGACATGTAGTTGTCATGGACATGTAGTTGTCATGGTTAGAAAGAGCTGGAGAAGCTTTAGCTTCAGATTATGATCGGGTTAAGTCTCCACTTGCCTGGAGGAGACTTCATATCTGCTGCTGATGACGCTGCAGGGGACCCCCGCCACGGTGACCGAGTTCTGGATGTCTTCAGCCCTCTGGCCCAGGTTAGAGCCTGAAATTGTCACTACCGTGCCCCCCTCTACGGGACCGGACACCGGGTCCAACTGGAACACAACGGGAGCAAACAGAGGGAATTCATATCCTGTCTATGTCGTCTTGTTTTGACATCACATGGTAGCATGACATCTAGTAGGGATGTACTATTTAGCACATGGTTCAATACATTATATGGAGCTGTGTGATTACTAGCAGGATAACAATGTGACAACGCATTTCAAAACAAAGCACTATACTGTATTATAGGTAGAGGAACTGCCTTGATTTTCATCTAGGCTTCTTTCATTTTTCATTATTTATGAATGTCTTTGTTTTAAATGCAGCAGGTGGACACCTTCATATGTAAACCAAATAGTGTTTGATTTGAATGAATGTATTAAACTAAAACAGCATTTGTTAACTTGCTGCTGTCTTGCCCCCCGTCAGCAGCAGTGCATTGCTTTTCTTGTTTTGCTGGTTATTGTCAGTTTTTTCCTAATTTGCATGGCAGTTGGCAATAGTCTAATGTGGAGGTAACACAACGCCCACATCCCACAGTCAGGATGAGATGGCATTGTGCTTGCTTTTTTCCACGACAGTGACAATAATTAAATAAAATCTTACAGAATTCATTTGTTTTCCCCCTTCACTCATTGTTCCTACTTTCGCTCTCCAAAAAAGTGCTTACGAAGTGAATGACGGGAGCAGGGCAGGAGTGTTTGACGTTGTCGCTGCAGGAGTCCTGGAACACGCAGTGAGAGCCGGTGGCCCCCCCGCACCACACACAGCCGTACTTCGGGTCGGCTGTTCTACACCGGCTGCAGTCGGACCGTCCCACAGAACAATTAAACAGGGTGACTGAAACAAGGGAGAGAAAATACATGAATAGATGTAAAAAAAAAAGTAACTGGATTACTACCAGGATACAATACAAGGTAATCCCTTACAGTTACATCAAAAAAGACGTAATCTGATCACTTTTACATTTTAAACATTGGGGATCACACGCAAGAGTGTTTGTTGTAAAAGGATCAGATGTTATCTCTTCTCTGTCAGCTGTAGTGTTCTGTAAGCTAATACTTTAAGGGTGAATCTATACGCCTACTGCCTGAATCTGCTAACTGTACGTCCACACAGCAGCTTTAAAAAAATCTTCCAACGCTTCCAACGCTTCTCTGCCCATTGACTTTGAATGGGAGTGACGTCACTTTGCCTCGCTTTTCGCCGAACTGCATTGTGGGGAAGCGAAGCGAAGATTTACAGGATGTACAGGATTTTCAGGAGCATTGCTCAACTTTTGAAGCTGAGCTGGAAGCGTCAGCCAATCAAATCCCGTTTATGCAAATCTGCCAGTACAAGCGCTAGCCAATCAAACCGCGTGCAAGCTGGGAGAGCCAGACCGCAGTTCATTTCCTCATATTCCAAACGAGAAATTACGGTAGCGAATCACCCGGTTCTTTACGACCAGAACTATTTACCGGGATACAAACCGGAGGAACCAGGCATGGAGGGAGGTGGCAGAGACAGTGGGTGAAACTGGTAGGTTTTCGCCTGTTTGGGGAGTTTATATCCAGTTTACTTCGTTTTAACATTGCTATTGCTTTGTATGTCGGGGGCGGGAGATTCATGTGATTGGTTGTTGGTCGCAAAAAATTGCCAAGCTTCAGACACGCCCAGCATCAAGATTTTTCAAGATTTTTTTCATGCCTGTGTGTGGACGGGCCGTTACTTTAGCACACCATTAAACAACTTAACTTCAATATCGCAATACTTAGCATATCGTAGAATCGCAATACTATCGTATCGTGGCTTAAGTATCGCGATAGTATCGTATCGTAGGGAGCCTGGTGATCGTAGATCGTAACACAGTTGAAGGAAAGGCCAGAGACAGAGATACAGAGAAAGAAGCACTCTTACCTAGATCATAACCTCGCAGGATGATGCCTTTGGCGATCTGGAACGCTAACAGCAGGTTACGAGGATCCCTCTCTCCGTCCATTGATTGGACAAAACCAAACACAAAGTCTGGTCCCAAGCCCTTCAGTTCTGAGGAGAGGGCACACAGGGGAACACAGATTTGTTTAAGTTGTGCTGATAGAAATATTGTTCCACCATATGATGTTATGACAAAAGGCAGACCGCCAAAATGACACCATAAACCTCTTCCTGAAAATCTGAGGAAGTTGTGTTAAGATGTCGTTTGTAAACTGACATTGTGCTGAACATTTCTTAATCTGAGTTTAAAATCCAATACATTTTATTTATATATATCATTATCAAAAATGACACATTGGTCTCAAGGGGTTTGGATAATAATAAGATATTGAAATTACCATTTAGACAATCCAAATGACAAAAATGTTAATTTGAACGTTTATAAAGAATAGTTAATATGTTTATTAGGGCTGCTCGATTTTGGCAAAAATCATAATCTCAATTATTTGGGTCAATAATTGTAATTTCGATTATTCATTGACTTTGAAAACATCCATTTATTGGAGAAAAAAATGAGTCTGTTTTTAACAGTTGATTACCCTGAACTTTAAGTATAATTAAACTGAAAAACCAAAAAATAAAGTAATAATAATAATTTTTAAAAAATCGTTTTATTTC